GAATGTTGGCAGGAAGAAAAAGCCACACTAAGAAGGTGACATTTGAGTAAAGTTCTAAGGAAGGGAGTGCAGGGCAAGCTATACAGACACCTTGGAGACAAGCATTTCAGGAAAAGAAAGCAAGTGAAAAGCCCCCGAGGCAGGGATATTTCTAATGTTTCAAAAAACAGCAAAGTCAGAGTGGTTTCAGTAGAATGAACAAAGGGAACATAGTAGAGAGGGCTTCAGGGAAGTAAGAGAGATCATTGTCAGCTCATTACACATAAAAGTAAGAATTCTTTTTCCTCTGAGTAAGATGGAAGGCCTTTAGAAGGTTTTGAGCAGAGCTGTGATGTGTTCTGACATATTTTAAATAATCATTATGGCTAGCTAATGTGTTCAGAATAGAGTGAAGGGGAGCAAATAATAAAGCAGAGAGACCAGTTAGGATTCTATTACAATCATCCTGGCAAGAGAAGCTAAGGCCGACAGGATTTGCTGATGGGCCAGCTATGGGCTATGAGAAAACCTATTAAAAAAAGAAGTATGAAGGATGACTCCAAGATTTCTAAGCTAAGTAACTGAAAGAATGGGGTGACCATTCACTGAAATGAGAAGTCCTGGAGGAAGAGTTTGGGGAGAAATATCAGAAACTCAAGTTAAGTTTGAGACACCTATTAGACATCACAGTAGAGATCCTGAATAGACACTTATGCATCAAGTTCAGGGAAGAAGTCCCCAAAACTTCCCTTTAAAAAAAATTACATGTACTCCAAATGTCCAAAATCTATAAAATTACAGAAATATTATAATTATAGAGACTCAGATCATGAGTTTATTCTTTTCCCCGTAGCCTGGATAGGTGAATGGTTTAATGACTATTTCTTCTGAATTTGCTGTTATATAGCATGTGTCTGTGCTTTGAAAACAAGCAAAATGAACAAACAGACAAAACATTAAATAGGAACACTTGACAAGGATAGTTTCAGACAATGATATATTTTACAGCAAAGTGAAGAAAATATGATTTGGAACTCTTCTGACATCTTTATAAACTAATCCTCTGGGCCCAAAGAATAATTTTTTTAGCATGAACTACTAAAAAATTCTCAAAATGGTGGCTGACTCTATAAATATTTTTTATGTGGCAATTTAGATGGAACTAAAGATCAACTTCACTACATATTTTGTTTTACATTTTGCTTAACTAAATAAAGTTAAATGGATATTAACTCAGAGGTTTTTATATTTCAGGTACTATCAACATACCTTTGCAACTCTATTTAATATAATGCCCTGCTTCTCTTCTCATGCTCACTGTTATGCCTCCAAAAGCTTGTTACTTTAAGCTGAAGTAGCACAGAGATTTATTCTAAGGTTGAATAAAAGCAAGTATTTTTTAAGTGGCTTTTCATCCTTTGAATATGTTTCTTCTGATCTAAAATCATTCAACTTTTACATTTTAGGAACAAAGATGAAGAGAACAAGGTGGAAGGAGAACGGGTTTCAGTTTAAAATGTGTTTTACCATAGCCCCCAGTGCAGCCTCTAGAAACCTGGCTATAAAGACGAAAACACATAAGAGCTAAAATGTTACCTCCCTCCTAGCCTCCAATTTTCTAATTCCAGATACAAGAACTCACAGAACTAGGCAGGAAGGTGGAGGTGATGTCTGTTTGTGTGTGCATATACGTGTGTTTGGGTAGGAAGTAGTGGGGAAAAGGGTGCTTCAGTAATAACACTGGCGGGAGCAAGTTTTGCATTTGGAAAGATGTAGTAGTATTCCTCATTTTTTTTTAAATAAGAAAAGCTCTGTAGGTAAAAGCAGTAATTGGGGAAGTGGCATGGAAAAGTACTGTAAGCAGTACAGAATGTGGGAGGAGATTAAACTTATCACATAGTTCAGAGTATGAAAGAACCAGGAGTGGTTGTAAGTTTTGTGAAACTGACTAAGGGAAACCTCTTTTAAAATGGAGTCAGTGGGGCACCTGGGTGGCTCAGTCGGGTAAGCATCTGACTTCGTCTCAGGTCATGATCTCATGGCCCATGAGTTTGAGCCCTGCATTGGGATCTGTGCTGACAGCTCAGAGCCTGGAATCTGCTTCAGAGTCTGTCTCTCTCTCTGTCCTTCCCCTGCTCACACTCTGTCTCTGCCTCTCTCTCAAAAATAAATATTTTAAAAAAATTTTTTAATGAAGTCAGGAGGCCAGAAGCAAAAGATCTTATGCCCTACCCCTGGCTGTCAGTTGCACACCCCAATAGGAAGAGCATATCTTGCCCTCTCAATTGAGAGAAGCCTATACTTTACTACCCCAGTAGGAGGAAGAAAGATTTTCTCCTTGCCTAGCAATAGCCCAGTCAAGGAGAGACAGCCACAACTTAGCCAATGAAAAGTCACTACACTTTGAACTCCCCATTTATTCCAATGTATTTTTTGTTTATAATAGCTCTTCTAACTCCCCTCTTTTTTCTATAAGTGTTCCTTGTCTTTCTTCTCCAGACTCGCCTAGGATTTTGCCATAGCATGCATGTCTTGAATTGCAATTCTCTGCTATTCAAAAAAAAAATTGTTGTTAGCAGTTTCTGCACCATTTATTCAAGAAAGGATAGAAATATGTAGAAAAACCTCTTTTTAAAAAGCCTTCTAAGGGCACCTGGGTGGCTCATTCAGTTAGGCATCCGACTTTGGCTCAGGTCATGATCTCTCAGTTTGTGAGTTCGAGCCCCACGTTGGGCTCTATGCTAACAGCTCAGAGCCTGGATCTTGCTTCAGATTCTGTGTCTCCCTCTCTCACTCTGCCCCTCCCCAGCTTGCACTCTGTCTCTCTGTCTCTGTCTCTGTCTCTGTCTCTCTCTCTCAAAAATAAATAAACATTAAAAATTTTTAAATAAAAAAAGCATCCTAAATATTAGGAATAAGACTGGAAGCACATAGGTTTGCCCTTGAGAAATAGATGTGAGAACAGAATTTGATATTCACACACAGCAACAGAAAACAAGGAAAAGAACCAAGGTTCGTCCAGACAAATCTTGACTGTGATGAAATTTGCCTTGTATAATAGACAAAAGAAAAAAATCCGAAAGGGGCTTGTAATAATAATAAAAAGAAAAAAGAGGTAGATGAGGACCCTTGTAGAAAAAAAGTAAAAGGAACATCTTCATAAGACTCAAAGGAATAGGCATATTCCTGAAAATAATCCAATTCCTGATCCAAAATAATTCAAGAAAAGGTCAGTCATTCTAAATAGTTACTAATTATTGAGTAATTACTGTGTATCATTATTCATTATTGTTATTGTTATTCATTATTGAGGAATTACTACATATCAGAGCCACTACAAATACATAACATGTATTAGCTCATTTAAACTTCACAATGATCCAATGAAATATTGTTATCACCTTTTTAGAAATGAGAGTTTGCAGGGGCACCTGGGTGGCTCAATCGGTTAAGCCTCTAACTCTTGGTTTTGACTCAGGTCATGATCTCACGGTTCGTGAGTTCAAGCTCTGTGTTGGGATCCGCACTGATGTTGTAGAGTCTGCTTGGAATTCTCTCTCTACCTCTCTCTCTCTGCCCCTCCCCCACTCGTACTTTTTCTCTCTCTCAAAATAAATAAACTTTAAAAAAATGAAAAAAAAAAGAAATAAGGGCTTACCCAAGGTCATAAAACTATTAAGAATTCAAAAAGATATAGCTGTTATGAGCAGGTGTAAAAATTTATTATTCATTCACTCAATATTTTACGTGTACTCACAAAGGGCAAGTGCTATTCTAGGCACATGGGAAAGAATCTTGCCTTCAAGGAACTTGCATTCTTTCTAGAAAAGTGTTTATATGTTTAAGAAGGTGGTGAGTTTGGGTGGAGGCGTGGAGAGAAATCAGAGCAAGATATAGAAGTTGGAAAGTACATTGCTAGGGGGTAATAATTAAAGAATACAGAGAAATTGAGATGTTTTTAGTGTGTTTCAGAACCTTGGCTTGTAATAGAATTTAATCCAGTCACATATATTTTGTGAATTGCTACATTTAGTCTTCTTTCGGCATTGTATGCTTTCTGCTTTTTAATGCTTTCTTGATGCCTCCTTCTTTCCTTACTTTAAGTAACCAATTTTACTGTTGCTTCTCTGTATAATGTTTTGAAAAGTATTATTCTACTGATGGCTACCTTTAAACTATGTATATTATACATTTCTTTACCAATCTTAAGCAGAGAAAATAAGTTCCATAAGGTGGGTTCTCATACATGTTGTCTGTATTCTATCTCTGAGCTTAATACAATGGTAGGATTAAAATGTATTTGTTTTATGAGTGAATAAATTAAGAATAGGTACTAACTACATGATCATAATTCTGCTCTGGGGCCAAAGGTAGACTGTGGGGGAGAAATAAAAATTAGAAAGTGAGGGGTGCCTGGATGGCTGTTGGTTAAGCGTCTGACTTCGGCTCAGGTCATGATCTCACAGTTTGGGAGTTGGAGCCCCACGCTGGACTCTGCACTGACATCTCAGAGCCTGGAGCCTGCTTTGGATTCTGTGCCTTCCTCTCTCTCTACCCCTCCCCTGCCCACACTCTGTCTCTCTCTGCTTCTCAAAAAATAAATACATGTTAATTTTTTGTAATTAGAAAATGAATCCAGAGAAAAGTAGGAAAGAATTCTTCAGAAAGTGCCTCTATCTCGATCCTGACACTAATTTTGCGGTCTTAAAAATCTTACCCATCCTCTTTGAACCTCTATTTTTTACTTAAAAAAAAAAAAACAAGTGGATTAGAACAGTGGTTTGTTACCATTTTTATGAGTCACAGATACTTTTGAGAAACTTATAAAGGCTAATATTCTTCTCTATAAAAGACTTATACATATATATCATGAAAAATAATACGTTGACATGTTTTACGAGATCATGAAAAGCCTTTAATGTATATGTTATAATATAATATAGAAACATCAGTGAAATATTTTGCAATGTTTAAAGGTAATTAGATAATTCACACACACATACACACAAAACCTTCTCCATACTTCATAATAAAGAAAGCCCCAAACTCCCAAACTAAGAGAAAGCATTTAACCAAAGTAGGAAACAAAACACTTATAAATGCAGTGAAATGTTTTGAAATGTTAAAGTCCAATGTCTTCTTTTAAGTTTTCATAACATTTATTTCAGATAGGGATGAAGTTGTTTAAGCTTAGCTTTTCTTGACAAACCAATTCTGATTGGTCGACTGCATGTCTTAAGAGGTAGTACTCTTGAAATTCCATGTGAAAAATTACTACCTAAAATATAAGATAATAAAAGTGCATAAGGGAGTAAAATTGTAGTTGTAGTTTCTAAGCTTAAAAACTTTACTTCTTTTTTTTTCATTTCTTTTTTTTTTTAATATAATTTATTGTCAGATTGGTTTCCATATGACACCCAGTGCTCATCCCAACAAGTTTTACTTACTTCTAATCATGATCTGGAAACATTTACTGAGTCACTGAGCTAATAAGTGCTTTAAATTAATTAGTTTACTTAATCCTATCCCCATTTTTAAAATGTGAAAGTCTCAACACAAAAAAAAGTTAAGTAACTTGCCCACATAAAATAACAACTAAAAAAAAATCATCATTCCAGTCAGGTAGTCTGACTTAAAAACAATAACAAAACTATATAATTAACTTGATGTTGTGGCTTTAAAAACCATGTCATTTTTTTTAGAAGCTAAAAGTAGGCTATGCTGTTAATGATTACATTTGGCTTTAATAGAGACTATTATCAATAATAGAGCACAGATGTATTTCATCTGTTTATGTATAAATGGAGGGCTCTGATTTTGAAAGTTTTATTTAACATCACACGATCATATTCAAAAAAATTTAAAACATTTCATGGAGGTATACTGTTACTAAATCAGTAGAACAGACAGGTAGTATTAACTATGCTTCATAATGAAATACAAAAATACCTCTAATTTTCAGAGTGCTTTTTTAAAAAAATTAATAAACAGTGAGGTACAAATATAAAGCTAAAAATGTATCAGGCTTTCAGCCAGCTTTAATGAATTAGTATGACCTTAATATAATAGCACATTTTACTGAAAATAGTATAATCAGCCTAATAATAATTCTGACAAAAGATAAATGGCATGATTTCTATTAAGCTGAACCAAACAGAACCTGTGTGTTTACCGATGTAAACAATAATGAAATAAAATACAAAGCTTAACTATATGCAAATAGGGAGAAAAAGACACAAAAATAGCTATAAATCAGTTTATGGTACTTTATTCAACATTAAAACTATAAACTTAATTATAAAAAAATAAGAGAAAAAACATTACCGGTTGTTTTCATTTTTTAAATAAAACAAAATTGTTGGGTTGTGTCTGATAGGCTAGATTTGGTTATAAATTAGATAATTTCAGCAATTTATACTAAGGGGACTTCATTATGAGATTATTATTTCAGAGCAAAGCCATGATTAGTCCATTTGATTACTTTTTCAAAGAATAGCTCTCCTCTTTCATGGTCTAATATTACAGATACTTCTGGTGATTTTGCAATGGGTAGGAAATCACCGAACCAATTTATATCAACAGAGGCCTTTTGCAAAGCATATGTCCTGAAACAGTCATCAAGTTGTAGCTATGAGGATACGGTTCCTCATCTCCTTGGATTTCCTACCTTTTTATGAATAGATTGTGATCCCTTTTATTACTACTGTACACCAGATTAATCTATTGCTTTGTGTTACTTAACAATCCTAAACATTCAAAAGTCATAAAATGTATTAGTAGTCTTTTAGAAATAATACTGACTCCAATGTTTTCTAAATCCTTGCAAGTCAAAGTCCACACGCCAGCAGCATCTACATTTGCTTGTTGCAAATACAGAAGCTTCTGGCCTACCCCACAAAATAATCAGAATCGTTTAATAGGACACCCAGGTGATTCATCTATACATTCAGGTTAGAGAAGGCTTGGTGCTAAATGATATATAAAGCACCTGGCACACTGACTGGCCTATTTCCCGTGTTCAAAATAATTTCAAACTACTTGTATTTTGCACACCAGAGAGACAGGAGAGAGAAACAAAGAGAGACCGGATGCCCCGGAATCATGACTGGTAGATGGGAGACATCATGATGACCAGTGGGTAGGTATCAGAAACATTTCAGCACCAGGGCAGAACCCACCACTCCCCAATGCCTTCAAAATCCCATAGGCAGAAGCACAAGCAGGCACCCACTCCGCCTAGGCAGAATTAATCCATTTTTACTAGCCCCCCTCCTTCCCAGCATTCCCCAACTTTTCCCCTCCACTATTTTTAACAAGTCTCAGAAAAACCACTCCGTTTGTATGCACTTCAAAAGTAAATCCAAGAGGACTGTCCTAACATGGTACTAAATAATCCTGGCTGACCACGTTATTTTTCATATTTCATGATGAGGCTCTTTTCCTTGTGAAGGCCCTGTAGACTATATGGGTTCAGATATTTCCAACACATGTAACGTTTCTTTTCCCGTTTGTGCACATACTTTAATTTTCTTCATACACTCAATTTCACTGTCGCAATTGTAACCACGATGACCATATGAGTAGGCGCTCCCTAATCTTCCTTCAAAACCCTCCGGACATTCCTTCCTAATCTTCCTTCAAAGATACTTTGAGAAACGGTCCATGACTAAAGATGTTTTGGTAGATACGTTTCACCTCCATCATTATTCTTTCTAGATCTAGTCTTGTTACCGAGCACCTGCGATTCCTGACCATACGCAAATTTAGTCTTTTAGAAAACAGTTTCCTAATTTCAACCCTACCCTTATCTCACAAGTTAAAATAGATATTAGACTTAGTGTGTTTTATTCAGGTAGTATAGACTTTTTTTTTTAGGCAAAGACCTTTTTTAGTTGTTTAGCTTTTCTTTAGTTTAATTTTTTTAATAGTCAAAAGTTTAAATGCCATAAGTTACATCATGTTAATAATACCTAAATGATATGTTTTTTAATTACTAAATAAAATATCAATATAAAAAGCCCCATAATATTTAAAGAATAGAGAACATGGATAATAAATATGCAATTCAGAATAACATCTCATCAATGAAAAGTCAACTTCAATAAATATCTTTTTTGGTTTTGCCAATTAATGTTACACACACACACATTATACATGTATTAACCCCTGTCTCATCACGTAGCTATGGCAACACATCACTGCAAATATTTAAACACAGTTTTGTAGAGCACATTTCCCAGTAATATTCCAAATGGCTGATTGTAGCCATTTTAATATTTAGCTGATTTCTTAACTATTGGAATTTGCATCAGTAAACCATTAACAGTTACAAAAGTGCTAAATTTGTATTTATTTCCTAATAACCTATGTATATTCTCCTCATGCTAAAAACACAAAATGCAATAGTCATCTCAGAAGGTATTCTAGAAAATAACCAAAAATCTTACCTCCCTTCAGTAAGTAAGTAATTTTTTCCTCCCTAAGTTCATCAGAGAAAAAAGCAGGCCTTTTAGGTGGAGGATTTTCACAGTCTGAAAACAATAATCAATATGTTATAGCAAAAAGTAACTTTTACATAAAATGTTAATACCATAAACAAATTACTTTCTCAAAAATGTTTCCTTCTATTGGCTTCTAATATTTGGGTAAATGAAGCCGGATTCATCAAGGCTCCTTTTAAAAATTTTAGCACTTGTAGGGGCACCTGGGTGGCTCAGTCAGTTAAGGGGCGGGACTCTTGATTTCGGCTCAGGTCATGATCTCATGGTTCCTGAGTTCGAGCCCCGCGTCTGGCTCTGTGCACTGACCACATACAGCCTGCTTGGGATTCTCTCTCTCTCTCTCCTTCTCTCTGTGCCCTGACCCCACTCAATCTCTCCCTCTTTCTCTCTCTCTCTCTCAAAATAAATAAATAATCTTTAAAAATTTTTCATCACATGTTACTTCAACTTCACTCTATTACTTAATGTCTGAACAGGATTTCATAGAAAAATAATGTGCATCAATAAATATTATCTTACACTTTACCTCTATCTCCTTTTTTCCCAAAATTATATATTTGGCCTACACAGGAATAAAAGCAGAATTTTTTTATCATGATAAAAAATATTTTAAAACTAATTTCATACCTTCCTTAGAAGTGGAATACAGTAATTCTTCCTCTGCTGCTCTTGAACAGCAATATTCATTTGGAACTTCCTGTTTCCCATTATTGGATACTGCTTTCCATTTAAATAAACTTTGGTGTCTCTTATGCATATTAGGGCATGTTATAGTATCACGGAGCAAAGAAGATACACATATTTCGTTGACTGTAACCATTTTCAAATCTTCTTTCATCTCCGTTTTTACCTCCTCAATATCATTATTTTCTCTAAGGTAATATTCTTGCCCATTGTTTGTTTCTGCAGTGCTTACAATTTCGTTTTCCTTACTGATTTCATGGAACATATGAAGTTCTTCAAGTACTAAATCAAATTTACTCTTCATCTCAAAATTGCTCACTCTTGTCTGAGCTTCTGTTGATAAACACTTGGCAGTTAAATCCTGAAAACATTCATTGTTCCCTAGACTCAAATCAGTTTCAAATTGATGATTAACACATTCTGTAGAGTCATTCTTTGGATGAAAATACTCTGAATTAGCTAACTCACTTTCTTGCAAAACATGCTCATATTCATTTCTGTCAGCTACATTATTTTGATTAATATATTTGGTTTCTTCCGCATTTACTTTTTTACTCATTAGTGAAATTGGTTGCATAGAAAACATGCCATCCATTAAATAAAAATTATTCTTCTCTTCCTTTTCTATCTTAATGTCTTTGTTACTTTGGCAACTGTTTGTTAAACTTTGTGCTGTGACTTTTACTTCCTCTTTCAAAATTGAGTCTTGTTTTTTCCCGTTGATTTCACTTAGCAAGCTCCCAAAATTTAGAACCTGCATTATAGTCCCAAGATTGGTTTGTTCACTACGGTTTATGTCATGGTTTGTTGGTATGGCCCGGGGCCTAATATTGAAGAAATCTTCAAATATGCACTTAAAACTAATGCTGATCTTATTATACTCCTTTTTCCTTTCAGTATTTAAATCCTGGTTATACATATTTACTTCATAAAATTTTTCATTACTATATCTATGGTTCTGTATAAATTGAGAACCAGATTTAACATGTGTTTTAACAGCATTAGGTGTACAGTGAGTCCAATTTTCCTCATTCATGAATTGTTCAGGACAACTCTTATTCTTGTAAATGTCTTTTGTCAAAGAAATTTCATCCATGTCATCAAAATCCATTAAAAGAGGATTTTTTTCATATGTTTCAAAAATTGGAAAATGTTTTTTAGTCGCCATAGTGAAGGAAGGTTTTTTCTTAGACTCTTCAAAAGCTTGTTCAGTTTTAAATAACTTTCTTTTTCTTAACATAGGTTTCATGTTACCTTCTAATAGTCTTGAAAAAGTTAAAGTCCTTGCTAGATACACAGTATGATTTTCCACTCTACTATTTTTTGAATAATGCAAATACATTATCCATTTGACAATGCATCTCTCTTGTAATTTAGGATCATTTTCAATTCTAATGAAACAGTTAAAGTTATTCAGCAAAGAAGCTATGTTGGTTTTCAATATGCTATTTAGAGGTCCTGAAATACTGGTTTGTAAACATACACTTAACATATCATTTTTTCTATTGACATTCATATTCTTAGTTATTAGATTTTGAAGATCAACTCGCTTCTTATCCTTGAAAATTTCATGCCAGTTTAAAACATTATCATTTTTTTGATTTCCTGAGATATTTTCATGAAAATTCAAAATTTCCATAATGGAATTTTCAAAAACTTTGCTTAAATGAGAGCCTTTTTGTGTAGCAGAATATCTTAATTGTAGCATATTGTTGCTTTCTCCTTTACCATTTAACTGAAAAAAACTTATTAAAGCTTTTTGGCTACCAAGTGTTCCTATCATGAGAGGCTTTGATTGTTCTTCACGTGTATTCAGGGCTTTTGTATAGTGATAATCTCCTTTGCTTAAAAGATCTATTTCTACTAATTGTAGAAAATTCAATTGTTCTCCAGTTCTTTTAACATTTTCACTTTGAGTCTTGTAATTACCCCAAATCCAACAAACTGCCCCTATTTTTTCTGAGATGTGACTAATATTAGAGCCCTGGCTTTGAGACTTTTCTAATCTGGTAAATGTATGAATGTCCAGGCATGTTTCTGCTTCTTCCAAATATGCATTCCCCAGTATTATAGTGAAATTCTTTTCAGAGTCTGTTACATCAGATTTGATACTACTGTGGTTATAGTAGTTTAAACCGATCAAGTCTTTTTTTCTCACACAAATATTTTGGTTGCTGAGTGACTGGTGGTTACTTTCATAGCATGCAGAAAAAATATTTTCTGCCTCGGCATCCACAATGTTTTTATCATCCTGTAACTTTTGCTTCTTAACATCGGGTCTATTTTGGGACCAGTAAACGTTTGTGAAATCCCTAACATATGCCTCGTTTTTGTCATTCTTTTTCTTTGCTGTTCCCTTTAAATAGACAGAGGACATTTTGCTATTTAAGTCAGTTGGAAACTCAGGGATACTTATTGTGCCTCTATCTCTAAAATAGCTGGCTTTGGCAATTTCCATGCTGGGCTGGTTTTGAGATTTTGATATATTTAGTGCCGATGCTGAAATGTTATTTTCCTTTTTATGAGATGGCGTAACACCGTCAGCTTTCCATCTGCACTTAATATCAAGAAATGGTGATTTGGTTTCCTTGTAAAAGGTAACATCCCCAAATAGGTTTTCTGTCTGTTTCACATAACTATCGTCTTCCTGAATACCGTCCCTCCCTTGCACTGAATATTGTTTTCCAGCCGCATTTCTTTTAACTCCATGTATATCGTCTGTAGAGGGGTTGGGCAGAAGCGGACGGACCTCTGCTCCAGCTCTGTCACTGCGGTGCACACCGAAAACCTCTTTGTCATTCAGTCCTGCCTCACAAGACTTTCCAGAAGCCCTCAAACCAGAATCAAAACTGCGTGAGGGGAGAGGCTGCAAACAACTATTCACCTCAAATTTGCCCTTTGGGCATCTCGGACTACATATCTGCTCCCCACCGACTGAGTTCTCCACACGCGAGTCTGTGGAGTTACCAAAAATCACATTAGCTGAAAGGAGAAGGGCCGGGAAGGGTCTGGGCGACAACAACTGCCAGGCTTTTTCCACCTCAGACAAGCGAGGCACCAGAGGCAGCCTCCACTCCACCTCAGAGGCACTGCCGGGCTCCGTTAGACGGGGCCGCTTACTTCGGGGCGGTCGGGAATCAGCGTCCTCAGGAGGCGGTAAGGAGGTGGCAGGCTCCCTGAACCCGGCACCCTGCGCGGTGCACTGCGTGAAGGGCATGGCAGCGAACCGAGATGTTCTGACGAAGTCCGGCCGCGCTCCAGCCTTTTAGCCGGCTCCAGACGGCTCCGCCTGGTCACGCCCCTGCCACGCCCCTCGAGGCCGGCTTCGGCCGGGGCCTCAGGGAAAGCCCCCACCCGACCACGCCCCAGCCCCGCCCCTCCGCCGCCCGGCCCCGCCCCCACTCTACCTGATGTCCTGGAGCTCCGGTAGTCTCTCCCTCACAGCGCAGAGCCCCGGGGCCGTTACATTGTCTATTTTTAGCGCCTCTTGCGGGTGCTTGGACTGTAGCCGGTCTAAAGATTTTCTTCCCTCTGGTAGAATTAAGGGGAAAAAGTCAGACTCTCTCTCTCTTTTAATTTTTGTCTCGTTTAATTTGTGAACAGAAACAGTTTTGCCTTTAAAATTCTAAAATTCTGTTTTCCTCGGAAGCGGCTTCTCCACAGTTGCTCTCGAGAGTCTTCTCCAGTAAAAAACAAACAAACAAACAAACAAACAAAAAAAAAAAAAACCAAGGGTGTTCTGTGAGCGCCAGGCCAAATCTCTCCGTGTCTGGAAAAACTTTTAAAAAATGCTCGTAATCATCCCGGTGACATTTAAAATCAGATATTCACTTCACTAGTAAAATGTGTCTAGGGGAAAAAAGACACTGGTATTTAACAATGTGAATTATTTCACGGGAGGAAATGTTGAAAATAATTATCCAGATAATTATTAATCTTCACCTTAAAACTGTAGAAAAATCGTTTTCATGTGTGCTGTGGGGTTCCCCCCCCAATATTGTGGATAAAATAAGTTACAGATAAAAATTGTATGTTTCAACTAGTTCAGTTACTGTAAGAATATATAATAGTTTCCATTCATACCTAATAAGTTGTGTGAACGTTATTTTTCTTTTTCCTCTGCCTTGAGAATAATTTATTATTTCCCGTCCGTTCTGCTTTTGTCAATTCCGTAATCATAAAGAAGAAAAAAAAAGAAAATTATTTTCAAGATGTTTATTATTATGTACATGTTTATTAAGGAACGTGGGATTACTGTTCAGTCATTAAAAACCTCAGGCCCCTAATGATTGTTTCAAAGTTGGTCAGTTTTATGTTCCCTGGCAAAAACTTACAAGAACCACAATAATGTGCAACAGGAATCCTGATTTTAGAACCCATGGGAGCATATATGGCAAGATATGACGAGTGGACTACTTTATTTTTTTTCTTTAATCTTTATTTCTTTTTGAGAGAGGCAGAAACAGAGCATGAGTGGGGGAGGGGCAGAGAGAGAGGGAGACACAGAATCTGAAACAGGCTCCAGGCTCCCAGCGGTCAGCACAGAGCCCGACAAGGGACTCGACCTCACTAACCGCAAGTTCATGACCTGAGCCGAAGTCGGACACTTAACCGACTGAGCCACCCAGGCACCCCTCACTCCTTGTGCTTTTAAATGTTAATCATCCGGGGTTTTTTCTTTTGGTCTTCTTAAGTTGGCTAGAGCCTCCAGTGCAATATTAAAGCAGTTTTGTTTTGTTTTTTAACATTAGTTATTATAGAGAGACAGAGCATGGGAGGGGCAGAGAGAGAGGGAGACACAGAATCTGAAGCAGCCTCCAGGCTCTGAGCTGTCAGACGTGGGGCTAGAGCTCACGAACCTCGAGATCATGACCCGGGCCGAAGTCCTATGGTTAACCAGCTGAGCCACACAGGCACCCCAACTAGTGTACTATTGTAGGTCATAAGATGTTCATCAGCCTCCTGTCTCGTAAATACTCTCCGATACACTGTGAATCCAGTTTCTGGGTATTTGCTATTACTTTAGCTTGTAAATTCCTCCAGAGAAATGTTTGCTTAAATTTGTAGAAAGCCTTGCAGTACAAGCATTTCATCTACACTAAAAATAAGAATGTGGCAATTGTTCAAATTTTACATCAGTGAGTTCTCAAAGTGCTACTTTTATGTAAATTCCATTCCTTTTTTTTTTTTTTACCTTAGACTTTCCACAATTGTACATTCCATACTAATGGAGTCTGTTCTATGCTTGTGATCAGCCCATGAGGATTGACTTGCATAGCTGATGGTGCACTAACATAATATTAGGAACGAGCTTGCTTGCTTTCCTTCTTTTTTTTTTTTTTTTTTAAAGTAAACGGTACCTCCAATGTGGGGTTGGAACTCATGACCTCAGGACCAAGAGTTGCATGCTCCACTGACTTAGACAGGGAGGTACCCCAGGAGGAAGCTTTTTTATCTGTAAAGTAAATGCCATAGCTTTGTGATTCTAGATTGATCTGTCACTTGGTGTTTCTTTCTTCATCTTACTAGCTTTCCAAGAACATACTATTTTTTAGATCTCCCTTACACCATGATTTAAAAACCGGATTGTTTAAGGACTAGAACACAATAAAACCCAGAAGTATTAAATTTAATTCAACAATTGTTTGAGAACTGTGTCTAAGACACTGTTAGGTATACAGAAAGGTACAGGTTTGTTGGGGTTTTTTTTCCCAGACTTAAAGAAACTTACAGCAATGAAGACAGAAAAAGAAGTCTTTTTTTGTACTTACTTACTTGATTATTACACTAATGATCACTGTTGTTTCAATCAATGCCTATTGAAACTATTATTCATGTGAGGGTTTTGTTTTATTTTTTAAATGCTACCTTAAAAATACACTATAAGTGAGAAATGCAAAAGGTGTATCTTTAACCCATCAAAATCAAAATATAAATGAGATTTGTTCAAATCTTACCTACCCTTCAAAGCCCATTTCAAACGTCATATATTTCCATATCACCTTACCTGAATGTTCCTACCTCCTTAATAACAGTAACCTGAGCTTTAAGGACAGCACCTGTCATTCCTTTCTGTCTGGTGTCTTATTATAGTCCAGATCTGAATGAATGAAAGAAAGAATGAGCGCCTGAGGTAAACCCCATACTGAAAATGTAACACAAGCTCCTGTTAGAGTTAAGTCAGCAATTCACTCAGGACCTCAGAACTTTTAAAGCCTTGTGACCTTAACATGTTGCCAGATCTTCACAACTAGGTCCTACCTTAACGTTTTTCAGCTTTGTTTTCATTTTATTATTTTATTTTATTTTATTTTATTTTATTTTATTTTATTATTTATTTTATATTTTATTTTTACAATTTGCACCGTGTTGCAAATACCAAGCTGTTTGTTACTTTCTTGACTTTCCATGCATGTTCTCAATGTGTTTCTCTTTCTCAGCCTGAAAATTCCTTCAGCCTTAAAGGGCTCTACTCAAAGTTACTTCTGCTGTGAAAGCTTCTCTGCCTCCTCCTGCTGTATCCAATCTCCCTGCAGAATTACTTGCATCCTCATCTGTGTTCCTATGGAAGTTTATTTTATAACACTTAAAATATCACTCAATTGAATTGTTTACATCCTCTCCACTAGACTCTATGTTCTTCAGAGCAAAGATTTATTTACGTTTACATCCCCATTGCCTCACGCTAAATACCTCAGCTAATGAGAAAACAAAAACAAAAACAAAAATGGAATGATATTATTGTCACTCTACCTTTACCTATCCAATTGTTGCCTTAAGAGTGTCTTGAGCTTCCTGTTTTGGTTTTGGTTTTATATGTTAAAATGTTAAAATGGAGACCTCTTTGAGACTATACTACCATAAAGGGCCAAAATTGACTTTAAACTATTACTGGTTTTAACCCCACTTAAGTTTAATGGTAGGACCAGATATTTGATGAGCCAGTTTTTCTCTTTTATGTCTTTTAATAAGTTATATAAATGGTGAATAAATATGCTAAATCCAAGTTGTTTCAGATGGACAAGTCAGATAATAAATATTTTCAAAGACTTAATAAGAACCACTAACAAAAATATTTAAACCAAATGCAGGGGGTAGAGAGGAAAATATCACTTGCTAAAAATATTTAAAACAAATATGGTTGTATATAACAGAAATAGCACTTTTTATCAAGTCACTAAGAAGCAGTAGGTGGGAAGAGATTTCAGAAAACCATAACGGTGTGCATATTCACATGTGCAATTAACCTTTCAGCAGAACACTAATGGTAATTTATAACATAAATATAATCTTAAATGAGACAATGTATGTGCAAATCATCTCATTATTCTCAATTTTCATTAATGACATCATTATCTACCCAGCCTCCTAAACTAGAAACTCTTAAGTGTTCTTAATTTTTTCTCTTTTTTACTCCTTCCCTGAAATCCAACTTCTATGTGGACAATCATCAAATCTTGTTACTTGTACATCAGACATGACCCTGAAATTAATTCCCATTCTTTACTCGTAATGTTTCAGCCTTATTTTAGGTCCTCATCATCTCTGAGAATATTGTAATAAAATCATCTTTTTACTAGTCTCCCTTCAATTTCTATCCAACACTACTATAAAGCTTTTTTTCTTAAAATATTAATCACTTTAGGGGCACCTAGGTGGCTCAGTCAGTTAAGCGTCTGACTTCAGCTCATGTCATGATCTTGCCCTTTTTGAGTTTGAGCCCCACGTAGGGCTCTGTGCTGTCAGCTCAGAGCCTGGAGCCTGCTTCTGATTCTGTGTTTCCCTATCTCTCTCTGCCCCTCCCCTGCTCACAATCTGTCTCTGTCTCTGTCTCTCTCAAACATAAACACTAAAAAAAATTTTAATATTAATCACTTTATTACTTCCTTAGGAACGTCTTTCTGTTCTTTGATACTTACAGAATAAAATACACATTCTTCAATTTGGCATACAATATTCTTTATAGTTTAATCTTCAAACTGTTTTTTCAGCTTCTGTGTCTATTTCCAAAACATAACTTGCTTTCCTACAATGCTAAACTTCTCACCTTTCTTTACTTATATAAAGCCTTTTTCTTGGGGCACCTGGGCAGCTCGTTGGCTGAGCATCTGACTCAACTTTAGTTCAGATCACCGTCTAGAGGTTTGTAAGTTTGAGCCCCACATGGGTCTCTGTGCTGGAGGCCAGGAGCCTGCTTGGGATTCTCTGTCTCCTCTCTCTTTGCCCTCTCTGATTTGTGCTCTCTCTCTCTTTCTCTTAAAAATAAACTTTTTGGTTTTTTTACTTTTTTAAATTTATTTATTTATTTTGAGAGAGAGAGAG